TGCTTTGTGAACGGGACTTCAATACTTTTTGCATTTTCGTGTAAGAAAGGCATCTTCTTTGGAGCTCTATTCTTTGTGACTGCGGACTTGATATTTTTGCTCTTTCATGTAAGAAAGGCATCTTCTTTGGTAAGCCGTTATCTTTTCTTTGTGACTGCGGACTTGATATTGACTTTTGCTTTAAATTTTCATGTAAAGGTATTTCTTTTGGAGCCCTATTCTTTGTGACTGCGGACTTGATATTTTTGCTTTTCAATTTCTAGAAATGTAAGGAGTTTTTTTTAAGTAAAATTCTATTTCATGTAACTGCGGACTTGAAGGTGTGTTTGTTACTATTATTATGATAATCAACATCCATTCGGGCAATAATGAAACAATGTAAAACCGTCATTTTAAATGCACATATATTTAAAGTCTATTCCAAGGGCGGGAGGTTGATATATGAATATCTATTTGTGAGTCGCGTGTGTGCGTCTACTCTAATTTATCTATTTTTATGTCTGACTGTCTGTCTGTCAGAGTGTCCTGTATGTCTATCTGTTTTGTCTGTCTCTGTCTAACTTTTTATTATATATAGTATATGTGTGTGTGTGTGTGTGTGTGTGTGTGTGTGTGTGTGTGTGTGTGTGTGTGGATAAAGACTGAGATAGATGCATATCTGTTTTTGTGTACGTATAATCATTGTCATACCATTATTATCGTTGCCTTCATTGTTATTTACGATTATATCATTATTATTATTACTATCATTAATGTTTAATTGTATCTATTATTATTATTATTATTATTATTATTATTATTATTATTGTTATTGTTTTCATTATCACCATTATCGTTATTATTCTGTTGTTTTGTAGTAATTAATTGTTGTTTTTGGTACGCTACTACTACTATTTTGAGTATTGTCATTATCATTATGATCAGTGCTATCATTACCGTTTTTTGACTTATGGTACTATTATCATAATTTGTTATAGCTGTTTTACCATTCTATTTTTAGCCCCATTCATTGTTGTGTTTAACCATTAAATCTTATTACATTAACCGTATGTTGAGAAATGTAGAAAAAGGCATGGATGAGAATGAATATCTTCACAATACGTCTATATAACAATACAGTGATTATCGTTGCTACAGTTAACGTTATTTTAGTATATATTCAGACGGTTTGTGCCAGGCCCGACCCGATAAGTTTTCATAAATACAGATGCAAAAATAAAGGCATATCTGTCTGTGTATCTGATAGATATACATTTAACCATCTATTCGCCAGGTTGCTATGCATGTCTAGACTGATAAATATGCATTTATTTCTTTATTTATGCCTGTCAAGTATACGAATATTCTTTGGGTCGGGCCTCGCACAATTCTAACAAACCGACCGATTATTTCTGTTTTTTTCTTTTTCTCTTTCGCTCAAAAGATCCACAAAGTCGAGTCACTTCCCTTGTAGGTACGACCAAGGCTGGGAGAACAAAGGCCTTTTTCTCATAAAGAATTTCGAGTAGTCATATCCAAGTGTTAATATCATTCTTTTTCTTTTTTGTTTTATTTCTTTTATTGTGATTCGCATTTTTGTTCTTGTTTTTCTTTTCTCGTTGTTTGTTTTTTTATGGTCATTCGTAAATCCATTTTATATTTCATATTTCATTATTTCCATAAGGTTATTTGCATTCCCTTTTCATATCATTCATTCTTCTTATCTATTTCATTCTCACTTGTATTTTTACTATTTCTTTCGTTTCTGGCTCTTTTTTTCGTTATTTCTTCATCTAACAACTTTCTACGTGGTCACCATGGCAACGGGCGTCTCTATAGCTAATTGGTCTATTATTTAAGGCTTAAGAGACAACCACCTCTTCGCTGCCGTTTCACTGATGCTGCTTGAGGGGTCTCCCAACAACATATGATAAGAAAACTGGATATATCGACTTGTTTGCAATATGTCGTTGGGAAATATAATAAGATAACAGTATGCTTAGAGGATGTTCAGTTTAGAAAATATATCGTGGCCCAAATGGATATTTATACATCCATTCCTATTCTATAAATTATGGTATTTTCATAACCAACACAAAATTTAGACTCATCTGGCCTTTTTTCTTTACATGTATCTCTTCCTCATGCTTTTGTTGTTGTTGTTGTTGTTGTATTCTAATAACCAAAACAGAAAAAAAATAAAACTTACCTGGCATAATATATTTTCTTTCGATAAAAAACATTTTTTTTTTTTTTTTTTTTTTTTTTTTTTGACCTTAGCTTCCCTTCCTCAAACCTCGCTGCCATGTTTCCTGCATGTCTTCATCTCTAAAGTGACATCTGCAGGCTGAAGCTGGTATTTATCACACCAATGACATTTATCTTCCGAAAGTCCTGTCTGTGGAGATCGATCGCGCAAGCAGACAGAGGAGAGAGAGAGAGAGAGAGAGAGAGAGAGAGAGAGAGAGAGAGAGAGAGAGGGGGAGGGAGAGAGAGAGAGAGAGAGAGAGAGAGAGAGAGAGAGAGAGGTGGGGGAGGGACAAGGTGGAGGGAGGGAGAGAGCGGGATGAGTGAATTAGGTGGATTGGGAGGGATGAGAGGAGAGAGGGGTAGGGAGGAAGCGGGAAGGAGGGGACTCGGAGTAGAGGGAGGGTAGGCGAGTGCGTGGAGAGAGAGAAGAGGAGAGAGGGAATGCGGGGAGGGAGAGAGAGAGAGAGAGAGAGAGATTAGAGAGAGAAGGGAAAGAAGTGAGAGAGAGAGGGAAGGCGAAGGAGTGGCAGAAGAGACGAGAGAGGCAGAGAGAAGAGAGAGGAGAGAGAAGAGGAGAGACGAGGAGATGCTGGGCTGGTGACCAACGGATGTGGAGGGAGGATGATAGGGGAGAGAGATGGAGAGAGAGAGAGAGAGCGAGAAGGGAGGGTCAGGTGTGGAGTGGAGGGAGAGGGAGAGAAGTAGAGAGAGAGAGGGGGGGAGTAATGCGGGAGGTGCGGAGTAGAGGGTGAGCCAGGAGAATGTGACGGGAGAGTTAGTAGCAGAGAGAGAGTAACAGGATGAGAGCGACTCAAGGAATGAAGTAGAAAGGCTACAGAGAAAGCAGAGGAAGTAGAGAGAGAGTAAGTGAGAGTTGTAGAGGGGAGACGAGAGAAGAGAAGAAGAGAGGGGTGGGAGGGTGGAATCCAGAAAAAGGATAGGTGGAGGGAGGGGGTAAAGAGAGGAAAGGAGGGGAGACCGAGGTAGGGGAGGTAAGATAGAGAGAGAGGGTGGGAGGACAGAGGAGAAAAAGACAAAGAAAGGAGAGAGCTAAGGCTTTGGTATCAGACCATCGGCGATATCCACTTCCTGTTAAACAAGAGAAAAAAATGTCAAATGTTATAACTGCCTCACCCTTTCTGTATCTAATACGGTACATATTACGTTGACACATTTAATATTGACTATTTCATATTTTTATGACTGTGGGAGCGCAGACTAGACACAGATCACCACGATGATTTTGACACATCGTGTACTGATCACGCACACACACACACCACACACACACAACACCACCACACACACAGCCACACAATCACACACATATATATATTATATATATATATATATCTGTGTGTGTGTGTTTGTGTGTGTATGTGTGTGTGTGTGTGTGCTGTGTGTATGTGTGTGTGGGTGTGTGTGGTGTGTGTGTGTGTGGTGTTTGTGTTTGTAAATGGTGTCTTTGCGTGTTT